ATTAATGACACTTAAATAAATAAATAAATAGATAAATAAATAGATAAATATAAATGAATGAATGAATGAATAAATACATACATACATACATACATACATACATAGGATTTAGGGTCAGTGTTTCCTACCCAAGGCTGAAATCTAGAAAAAGAAACAACTTCTGTTGCCTTTCATTCCCTGGGTGGAGTCAGGAGGAAAAAAACTATCAGGGGTCAGGAGGAAACCTAACACCACTGGTGGCAGTGCCTCTGGCACAACACCACTGCTTTCACTGCACTCCATCATTCCCAAGGAACCACTGTAAGGAATGTCAGATGACCCTGGGGAACACTGAACAGACCAGCCCATATATAAACAATACCCTCAAGGGCTTTCCTTTGAGAGCCTAAACCTGCCACACCATTCTCCCTGTACATTTACTTTAAAAGTATTGCAAAGTCATCTTAACTGAAAGCTAGCATTTTTTTGGTACTATGACATTAGGAATAATGATTTGTATTATTTTACTTTTCTGGTCCTCTTACAGGCCCAGCATTTCCCACTGCTTGCACCTACTTCTTCCAAGTATGCTTCTTTTAATCCCTTATATAACTATGGATTCTTAAATTTCCTTCCAAATGTTATGCAGAAGGCTGTTGGTTTTATATACATTTATGGCGTCCCAGAATTATCACACACAGGAAAATACGGTGCACCAATATCCATATTTACCAGTAAAAACAGCATTTCAGTGGAATCAACATTAAAGCGCTAACATCACACCCTTCCAATGCTCTCTCTGTGACTGAGCTCCAAGGACTCTTTTTATTTCCATACGCAAGGCCAAATATTCAGTTAGAGTGAACCAAACAATCAGGCTTGTTGACAAGACACTAACATTTCTTGAATATTTAAACTCTGATTAAGAGAATGAGCAATGATTGTCCACTGACTATCATTTCTTAACTCAACACTCTATGAAAATTTACAGGATAGGGAGAAAGAATAACTGCCATCAACCTGGCCTTAAAAACTGCTGACTTCATCCCAGGTACCAAAGAGCAGGAGATGCCTTTATGGAGGCAGTGAGGGGGAAGATGGGGAGGGAGGCTCAGTGTCTGAGGAAGCAGCACTGGCTGGCCTGACTGACAAGTTTCTCTGGCTCTTTCCCCAATGTGCTCTGGACCTTCCTGATAGGAGCTGGAAACTTTGTTTTTTTAGCTTTGCTGATGACATTTCAAAAATGACCTTCCCAATAAATACAAGGAAGTTATATCTGGAATTAAAAAATCTAAATATATGAGCTAATTTTTTAAAAAGCTCATGAGGCTTTTTGTTTTACAACGTTCCCTTCCTCTGATTTTGATATAATTTTGGAACTCTTTCCATGATTACCTCAGTGTACAAAAATAGCTTTCAAAAGAGACCCAATCCAAGTAATGATTTTTATAACTGATTAGGTCTTCGCTTAAAGACTGACATTATAATTATGAAACTTGGCTTCAGCAAGTAAATTTTTTCTGAAAACAACACTAAGAGAAAACACACTTCCTAAATAATTATGCTAGATCCTAAAGGTTTCAGGAACATGGTTGCACAAAAAGTTCTACAATCCATTCGTGGTATTAGTTTATATATTCCTTCATATGGGCATATGATAAGATTAACACCATCAAAATAATAAAATCCCAAAATAGTATCTCTCCATTATTTCTCAAAGTAAACTTCAAGTCTTATCACATTTTACACTATCCTCAAATGATCTGTCAGACTAAGACTTACTATGTTGCCACTGATGCACTGTTACTAAATCTTAAATGTTTCTTAAATTCAACTTACTGGTCAAATTGTACATTCAAGAGCACTAAACAAGTGCAGACAGAGAGAAAAGATAAATTGAAAGAGTGGGATATACATAGGCAAAAATCTCTTAAATATAAACATGAGCAACTTTTTCCTGAACACATCTACTCAGGCAAGGGAAACAAAAGCAAAAATGATCACATGGGACTACATTAAACTAAAAAGTTTCTGTACAGCAAAGGACACCATTAGCAGAACAAAAAGGCATCCTACAGTATGGGAGAATATATGTGTAAATGACATATCCAACAAGGGGTTATCATACAAAATATATAAAGAACTCACATGCCTCAACACCCAAAAAGCAAATAACCTGATTAAAAAATGGGCAGAGGATATGAACAGACAATTCTCCAAAGAAGAAATTCAGATGGCCAACAGGCACATGAAAAGATGCTCCACATCACTAATTATCAGGGAAATGCAAATTAAAACCACAAGGAGATATTACCTCACACAAGTTAGCATGGACAACTTCGAAAAGACTAGGAACAACAAATGCTGGCGAGGATTCAGAGAAAGGGGAACCCTCCTACACTGCTGGTGGGAATGTAAATTAGTTCAACAAGTGGGGAAACAAATACGGGGTTTCCTCAGAAAACTGAAAATAGAAATACCATTTGACTCAGGAACTCCACTCCTAGGAATTTACAAAAAGAAAACAAGTTCTCAGCTTCAAAAAGACATATGCACCCCTATGTTTACTGCAGCACTACTTAAAATAGCCAAGATATGGAAGCAACCTAACTATTCATCAGTAGATAAATGGGTAAAGAAGATGTGGTACATATACACAATGGAATATTATTCAGCCATAAGAAAACAAATCCTATCATTTGGAACAATGCAGATGGAGCTAGAGGGTATTATGCTCAGTGAAATAAGCCAGGCGGAGAAAGACAAGTACCAAATGATTTCCCTCATTTGTGGAGTATAACAACAAAGCAAAAACTGAAGGAACAAAACAGCAGCAGAGTCACAGACTCCAAGAAGTGATTAACAAGTACCAAAGGGGAGGGGCGGAAGAGGGTGGGTGGGGAGGGAGGGGTATTATGATTAGTACACATGGTGTGGGGGGGATCATGCGGAAGGCAGTATAGCACAGAGAAGACAAGTAGTGACTCTGTGGCATCTTACTACACTGATGGACAAGTGACTTCAATGGGGTATGGGAGGGACTTGATAATATGGGTGAATGTAGTAACCACAATGTTTTTCATACGAAATCTTCATAAGAGTGTATATCAATGACATCTTAATTTAAAAAATTATAAAAATGTGAAAAAATAAAAAATAAAAGCAAGCTGGACTCAGATGCTTTCAATAAATCAAGAGCTATTATTAAAATATCTATTATGGATAGGGATCACAAGAGAGAAAAGAAGAATACAATCAAATCCTTCCCATGAACAAAAACATTCATCCCCACCATAAGTTTTAGAATTGGGGGTTTGAATTTGGCTCCACCAGATATGTTTCTCTGGCAAGTTTCTTAATCTCCCAAACCTCAGTTTTTCAATCTGCAAAGTGGGGGGAATAAAACCCATCCCGCAGAGTTTTAGTGGGTACTGAATTACATGAGACAGTATAGGAAAAGTGCCTGTCATTAGATGTCAAAAAACGTTACTTTCTTTTCCATGATATATTGTCAAGAAAGTTGTACCTTATAAGAAGTAAATATAGCATTCTACCTGGAAAGGGTCTGTCTTCATTACTGCCATGCACAGGAACTCCCTTATTTTCTGGAATATACTTCTTAGTAATGGGCAAGGACATCAGCCGAATGTGATGGATGAGTGAGCGCCAGGTATGAGCTCCAGAAAGCACAGGTTCAGGTGGTAATGGGCTGAAAGGTTGAATCACAAAGTAGGCAGTGAGCAAGATTAATCCCAGGGTTACGAGGACCTACAAGGAAAGACAGAAAAAAAGATAACTAATAACCCCAGTAAACAAAATACTTCAATACCAAGAAAATAAAACAGGCCTCTTTAAACTATTTCCAAAGTGCTTTAAGAACTAATCCATTTCATAAACAAGCCACTTACATTCACTTCTGAGAGCATTTAAAGTAAGAACTATGAGGACTACAGGGCTCACCAAGCTTCTATCATATGATCAGAGGCTATGTCCACCATTAAAAAATACATATGAATACCGTTCAATTGTAAATACACAGCTTTTGTCTAGGACAGTTAACAAAATAGTCAAATTTCCTGGTAACACATGATAACAAGAGCAAAAGCCAACTTATTCATAGAAAAAACAAGGTTCAGTGGTGGAATCAGTCAACAGTGATACCTGGGGAGAAAGCTGAAGAGTCTGTGCTTTGTCTAAGCTATTTCCAAGTCAGAACATATTTTTACCTTATACACAGCTCTAAGGAGAGGGTACTGGGGTGGCCCCCTCTGTGGTTCATTCTTCTCCAGCAGCTGTCTGATAAATTTTTCAATTGCCTTCTCTGACATGCCACATTGATGGCCTGTCTGTCTCACTAAATCAACAGTCTCTGAAAGTTTGTCATAAATGCTGAGCTCATTGGCAGCAAGATCCATGTCTTCCAATACAAAATCCCTGAAAGAGAGAAAATAAATGTAAAAAGAAAGATGGTTTCTTTAAAGTACTTCCTCTTCAAAGCTACTACCTTTAGAACAGTGCTTCTTGACCATCTGTGGGGAAGGACCAATTTTGTGTTTTTCCTAATCCACTGCAGGCCAATACTTTCGTAAAACACGATGAGTATGTCTAGACAATGTCAAGTTGCTACAAAAGTTTTTAAGTGTTACTTAATTGTGGGCTAAAAACACTTTGCAGACCATCACTGGTTCCCAAACACTGAAGAGAACTGGTCTAGAGCAAGATAAATCCTTAATGGTACTCTGAAATACTAGTGCCATCAGAAATGACTTCTGAAACCAAACACAGGAGATCTGCTACTGGTGATTGACTCCCTCCCAATGACTTCTTCTGTTTGGTCCTCTTTATGACTATTAACATTTTAGTTCACTAGTTATTAATAGTGCCATTAGATGTCAATAATGTTATTACTGCAAATTAGAATCATACAGAGAGCTTTCTTCTTAGAAGATTTTCCCTGTTAGGGGGAAATATTAATGATATTGGATTAACAACAGCTTCTTTGAGATAGCACCAAGAGCATGAGCAGCAAAAGAAAAAATTAATTGGACATCAAAAATTAACAACTTTTGTGCGGCAAATGGTGTCACTAAGAAAGTAAACCGACAACCCACAGAATGGGGGAAAATACTTGCAAATCACATATCTGCTAAGGAACTGGTATTCAGAATACATAAAGAATTATTACAATTCCATAATAAAAAGACAAGCCAATTAAAAAATGGGCAAAGGACCTGGACAGACATTTCTCTAAAGGAAATATACAAATGGTCATGAAAAGATGTACAACACCATTACCCATCAGGGAAAAACAAATAAAAATCACAATGAGATACCACTTCTTACCCATTGGGATGGCTATTATCAAAAAGTCAGATAATAAGTGTTGACAAAGAAACTGAGCAACTGGAACCATAGTATCCTGCTGGTGGGAGCATAAAATAGTGCAGCTGCTTTGGCAATTCCTCAAAAATATAAACATAGAGCTGCCATATGACATTGTACATCAATGTCCATGCAGCATTATTCAAAACAGCTCAGAAATGCAAGCAGTTCTAATGTCTATGACCTGCTGAATGGATGGATGAAATGTGGTATATCCAAACAATGAAATATTATTGGACAATAAAAAAGAATGAAGTACTGATACATGCTACAAAAAACAACTTGAAAGCATTATGCTAAGTGAAAGACAGTTACAAAAGACCACATACTGTACAACTGCATTTACATGAAAAGTCAAGAATAGGCAAATCTATTATAGAGAAAGTAGACTAATTAGTGGTTGTCTAGAGGCAGGGCAGTGACTGTCCTCCAAAGGATGGAGAGTAACTGTTAATAGATTTGGGGTTTCTTTCTAGACTGACAAAAATATTCTAAAATTGTTGGAATGGTTGTACAACTTTGGAATATACTAAAAACTTACTTCTGTTGTAGCATTTCTAATTTACTTCTGTTAGAATTTTGGCTAAATCACTGGGTCTATTTCCTCATCCAAAAAGTAAGAGGACTGAATGAAAAGGTTTTAAAACCACCTCTAGCAGTAAAATTTTAAGAGCATATGAATACTTCAGAAAGTGGAAAAAAATTCAATTCTTTAGAAATTAAAGACTTATGTCCAACTGCATTCCTGTATTACCAGCTTCTGTTATGCTATCCTATATGCCAGGCACTGTGCTAAGTGCTGCAGAAACATCTCAGTAAGTTGTCACAGCAATCCCACAGGGTAGGTGTGATCAACCCCATTTCCCAGATGTTGAAACTAAGGCTTGAAAAAGTTTTGGAATTTGCTAGAACGTGAACCCAAGCATGCCTGACTTCAGAGTTGGTGCTTCTGTTACACATGCTGCCTCCCTTACCAAGTGTTTTCTTATTCTGAGCTGGCAGTTCTAAAACCACAACACCATGTCCCTTGATTATCACAACTGAGTGGCTGAGTACTGGAAAGTGATCGACTACAATGATTCCTGGAAAAAGAAGAAAGCAATAACTTATTTCATATTTTTCACATCTGGGTTCTGTGACTAGTGATTCCAGAGATAGCATTTTCCTGTTTAAATTAGCAAAGATATTCTAAGCAAGCAAGTGAGCAAGGACAAAGCTCATTTAAGCAAACTACAATAAATTATCCAACAACACCCAGTCAAAATCCATTAAAACTCAGTAGAAGACCAGAAAGGAGAGCAGTTGGAATTCTAGAAAAACTTCGAGTAGAAAATTTTAGTATTTGAAGGTGGGGCACATGTAGGATGATTCAGTAAAAAGATAATGTCACACTGCTGGGCCCTAAGGAGAATGATGCAGGGGACAAAAGTGCAAGTGAGGCTAAAAGGAGGAACGACTATCATATTTGACAACTGTTTGACCATCTTTGTATACTTCTGCCCACTTTTGATATGCATAAAAAAACCCTCATTAAACTCCCAGTTTGTACTGCAAAAATAAGGATTTTTTT